CTGGGAAGCAAAGGCATAAAATACTCGAGAATGTTAATGACATTTCAAGAGGCTCAGTGGAGGAGGTTCAAAGGCAGAAAGGCAGGCAGGAGGGGGGCCCCGGGTGAGAGCTGAGAGCTGTCCCTTCTGCAGCAGAGAACACCCGGGGTGATGGTGAGGACTCTGGCTGTGTTCAGTGAAAATGTCCCTGAAGTTTCGTTATTGAGCCGGATGCCTTCTATACGTTTTTAGTAGCTATCCTTTATCGGGTTTAGAAAGTCCCTTTCTATTCTTAGTTTTCTCAGATGTTTTTCTTTTTTAAAAAATACCATGATTCGGGTTGAATTTTATCAAATGTCTATTTAACAAAATCTTCTTGGGGTGTTTTTTCTCCTTTAACCCTTAATACACTTAGTTATATCAATAGATTTTATGAACTTTAATCATTCGTGCACTCTCAGGACAAGCCCAGTGGATCATTTTTTCCCAGTGTGATGTGTGCCAGGTTGCATTTTTCAAAAACAGCTTCCATGAGCTCTCACCTGCTCGTCCAGCAACGGGACTTCTTACTTCTTGCACTGGGTGGTCGGGCTTCTGTCCCCTCCCTGGGAATCCTAGGGGTCAGGCTATGGTGGGACTCCAAAGCGAGGTCACATAGGTGGTGCTATTCCCCCCGCCTGCTTCTCCTGAGCTCTGTGCTCTCGGCACCCAGACACCACGAGGGAGGAGCCCCCACATCCCACAGAGACACCACGTGGAGGGGAACCGTGGTCCCCGCTGAATGAGCCATCGTGAAATTGGGTCCCTCGGTCTCCAGTGAAGCCACCTAGCTAATGTGACAGGAAGCAGACACAAGCTGTGAATGCCACACACAGCCACATCAAGTATTTATGAGTAAAATGAAGGACTGGGGTTGTTTTAAGCCACTAAGCTTTGGAGAGGTTTGTTATGAAGCAATAGTCACATAATTTGTGATAATCAATTCAATTTGCTAATATTTTACTTGGGATATTTTTGTATCTACTTTCATAAGGAAGACTGACCCATATTTTCTTTTCTTGTACTGTCCTTATTGTCTGATTTTCATACCAAAGTTATACTACTCTTTCAAAATGAGCTAGGATGTATTTCTTCTTTTTCTAGTGTCTGAAAGTAGGTAAGTTTGAAATTGTTTGTTCTTTAATATTTGATTAAAAATAAAACTAGTGTAAAAAACTGTCAGGGCTTATATCTCTTCTTACTTTGATAAGGTTTTTGCCTACTAGCCAGTTTATTAAAAGGTTAGGATTTATTCTGATTTCTTACTTTTCTTAAATTAATTTTTGGTAGTTTCCTAGAAAATTGTTTATATCCTCCAAGCTTTCAAAGTTATGAACACACAGGTTCCACTGTAACTGAATTATGTTCCCTCACTCATTTATAACATTGTTTATTTTCTCTTCTCTCCATCTCCTTCCCCTGATGAGACTTGCAAGAAACATGTCTATTTGATTCCTATTCGATCCATCTTTTCAACAATCAGATTTTATTTATTGATCATCTTTGTAGCTTCTAATGCAGCTAGAAATAAAACAAATGAAATGGTTTTCATTTTCATTAGTACCTGTCTTTGCCTTTATCACGCCTTTCTATATAATTTATGTATTTTTGGTGCACTTCTTTTTTTTTTTTTTTACTTTTTAAGTTGAAACCCTAGCTTATTATTTCCAGGTGCTACCTTTCCTCAAAGTATCACTTCAGAAGCAAAGTGGAAGTTTGATAAGAAGTTCTTGTCACTTAATTCCAAATACTTTCCAATTTTCCTGTTAACTAGGATGACCTTATGATGTATCAATCAAGCTGGGACAAGTTTGGCAGTGAATGGAAGATAGTGATTTTAATAATTACACTGGGATAACAGACATAAATTGGATCTTCTCTATACAAACTCATTAATTATTTAAAGAGCATATTTTTAAAAATTAATTAATTAATTAATTTTAGTGTATTAGGGGGTACAAATGTTAAGGTTACATATATTGCCCATGTCCCCCTTCCCCCTCGAGTAAGAGCTTCAAGCATGTCCATCCCCCAAACGTTGCACATCTTACTCGTTTGGTTGTATACACCCATCCCCACCTCCCCCTCCCACCCTCCCAACACCCAATAAATGTTACTCCTATATGTCCACTTAGCTGTTGATCCATTAATACCAATTTGCTGGTGAGTACATGTGGTGCTGGTTTGTCCATTCTTGAGATACTTCACTTAGTAGAATGGGTTACAGCTGTGTCCAGAAATATACAAGAGGTGCTGTATCACCATTGTTTCTTAAAGCTGAGTATTACTACATAGTATACATATACCACATTTTATTAATCCACTCATGAATTGATGGGCACTTGGGTTGCTTCCACAGCTTTGCAATTGTGAATTGTGCTGCTATAAACATTCAGGTGCAGGTGTCTTTTTCATAAAATGACTTTTGATTAAAGAGTGTACTTTGATTTTCAAATGTGTGCGTGTGTGTCTGTAGAAAGTGAATAAATATATAGATTTCTACTATAAATAGATTGACATCAGAAAGTCTATTGTATATGATAGAATTTGGATTTTTTAAAACTTTCTTCATGTTCTAAGAAATGGTCAAATTTTTACAAATATTTCCTATGTGCTTGGAAACAATTTGTTCTTCAGAGTTCACTGTTTCTCATGAATCACAATTATTGATCACATTATTCAAATTTTCTATATTCTTTATATATTTTTTGGTCCACTTGATTTATTGTTTTCTGTTAGAGGTAATCCAAATCTCCTGCTATGATTATGGATTTTGAATTTTTCCTCATAATTTCCCAACTTTTGCACTAGACACCATGGGACTGCATTGTCAGTGGATTGTAGTAGATCATTTTGGTTGATTATCATTTGAAAAGTGTTTTTATGTTCCTATTCATTTTTATACGCTTTACCAATCTTCCTTCAGTCGCCTGCCATATCTTTCTCTATCCTATCCCTTCATGTTCAACTTTTCTGCATGTTTGTTTGGATGTGCCTTTGAAAAAGCACACAGCTAGATAAAAGCCACAACAGCAAAATGAAACACTCCCAATCTGACTTCAATCTGAGCGAATCTATCATTTAAACTAATAGTTCAATCTGTTTACATTTATTGTGATCACCAACATATTTGTCTTTTTAGTGATACACAAGCATATTTAATGACTGGAAACACAGTTCATGATACATTTTTATTTTAGTTTTATTTGACAAATAATTATTGTTTCTTTTTGGTGAGAACATATTAAAATCTATTATTTTAGCAATTTGAAATGTATAATACTTTTTTTTAACTATAGTCACCATGCTGTGCAACAGATTACTAAAACTTATTCCTCCTGTCTAACTGAAACTTTGTATCCTTTGACCAACATCTCCTTTCTCTTCCACCTGCCCTCTGCCCTCAGCTTCTGTGTCTACCATTTTACTCTCTACCTCTGAGTTCAACTTTTTTAGATTCAACATATAAGAGACATCATATAGTATTCGACTTTCTGTGTCTAGTCTATTTGACTTAGCATTATGTCCTTTAGTTCCATTCATGTTGCTGCGAATGATAGGATTTAGTTTTTATTTACTGCTGAATAGCATTCTATTTGTATATATACCACATTTTCTTTATCCTTTCATCCATCAGTGGATAATTAGGTTGCTTCCATAACTTGGCTATTGTGAATAATGCTGCAATGAACATGAAAGTGCATGTATCTCTTCAACATACTGATTTCAAATCCTTTGAATATACCCAGGAGTAGGACTGCTGGATTATATGGTAATTTTATTTTTAGAGTTTTGTGGAAACTTCATACTATTTTTCATAATGGCTGTACTAATTTACATTCCTACCAACAATGTGCAAGAGTTCCCTTTTCTCCACATCCTCGCCAACACTTATTTTTGGTCACTTAGATGATAGGTGTTCTCAAAGGTGTGACATGATAACTCATTGTGGTTTTAATTTTCATTTCCCTGATAATTAGTGATTTTGAGCATTTTTCATATATCTCTGGGCCATTTTTATGTCGTCTTTTGATATCTCTTTAGATCCTTTGCCCATTTAAAAACTAGGCTGTTCTATTGCTATTGAATTGTCTTTATTTCTTTTATTTTGTACTTTTTATTTCCCATGCTTGTTCTTTGCTTCTTTTACTCCCTCCTTTTCTTGCCGTCTATTGAATTGATTGTGTTTTATTAATATTTATTCCCTTTCCCCTCTCTACTAGTTTGGGAATTATGTATTCTAGTTAAGACATACCCTTAATTTTAAAAAATAAATACTTCTCAAAGCCTAGGTTCCATTAATTAATATCAATCCTTCTTTCTTAAGAAATTGAGATGGACTGTTAACCTCATATCCTAATTCTCTCCAATCTTTTTTGTTTTATTTTTTTGGTCAAGTATTTCATTTCCACCGTGTTCTAAAATCCCCCGGAAGTGAACTGTTGTGACATCCAGAAGGCGCTGCTGTTTTGCCAGAGCTGGCGGAGGAGGGGAGGCCCGCCTAGGTGAGGAGGGCGGCAGGGGTGAGGACGAGGGTCGGAAGCAAGAGTCCGAGCAGGTGGCAGCTCATCACTTGCAGGAGGAAACAAGGGGGGCCAGCGTTGACCCCAAGATTCCAGCTGGAGGGCAGGGAGACCACCTCTGGATTTTCATCTGAGTGGGTGTTGTTTGAAGACGCCGCACTGAGTGGAGTCTTCAACTTCTCCCAAGGCCCAGACACCTCTGGTGGACTGGCGGCAGCTATCAGAGTACAGGGAGGCATCAATGGCTGCACTAGCCCCGCCCCGCACCCAGCGCTAGGCACAGGGTTTCCGCCCGACGAGAAGCCCGCCCCGGCACAGCGCCCTAAGGCACAGGTTCCGCCCCAGAGAACCCCGCCCGGCACCGCAGGCCCGCCCTAGCAAGGTCCGGTCCCACAAGAAGCCCCGCCCCAGCACGCAGGCCCCGCCCCAGACGGCCCGTCCACCGGAAGTGGTGTCTGGCCAGGCGGAAGCAGGAAGTGGGAGAGCAGCGCTGAGCCCGCGGCGGTGCTGGTTGGTGCTGTGCGGCGCGCGTCCGGCTGGGGCGATGGCGGAGAAGTTTGACCACCTGGAGGAGCACTTGGAGAAGTTCGTGGAGAACATTCGGCAGCTCGCATCAATCGGGCAGTGGAACTTCCACCTAGCAGCAGCCGGGCCTCAACCAGAAGCTGTGAGTGTCGGCCGGAGGCGAGCGGCGTCTTTCCCGGGGCGGGCCGGGCGGCGTGTGCCGGGGAGAAGGGGAGCGGTCGGGTGTTGCGCCGGGGGTGGGGGCCGGCCTGAGCCGCGGCCCCGCGCCGCCCGCCTCTGGGTCGGTCGCGGCGTGAGTCCGCCTCGTCCGTGGGCCCGCCTCCGGCTGTGTTCCGGGCCGGGCCCTCGGCTGCCGCCTGTTGCCACCCCGCCGCCTCCTCGTCTTGCCTTGCAGCCACCTTTTCTGGAGAGCCCAAGGCCAGATGATGCAGTTTCCATTTCTGGGGCTCCGTCGAGGGAATAATGCCAGCAGTTCATCTTGGAGCCCTTCTGGGGAGTTCTGTCCCTGTCCCCAGGGGGTGGGCAGCATCGCGGGCACGAGTGCACCCCTAAAGTAGGCTGCGACGAGGGGTGAGGCGTCGGGACTGCCCCTCTGTATAGGCCTGACGTGGGGAACGAACAGGGCGACAGGTGGGGTGACGAGAAGCCCAGAACGCCCTTGGTCATGGTCCTAGGCGCTGGGTTGAAGGGAAGGCAAACACGCAAATAACAGGACCCCCTTAGAGAAGTGTTCTCATGCGCTTAATGCGGGCACAGCATAGCAAATAATTACCACCTTACAAATAATTACTGGGCTTCCATACCCAGTGCTCTGGGAGTAGCCCGGACCCTGGGCCAGCCAGGTGATGTAGGGAGGCTCCTAATCAAGGCAGGAGGCTTCCTTTTCCTCAGACTTTTTGAGTATATGTAGTTCCCTGCCCCATGTGTTCGCTGAAACCACACTACTGGGTTATTGTTTTTGAGAGAAAGTTCATTTTTTTCCATCAGATTCTCAAAAGGGTTGGCTTACCCCCCCCCCCCCATTGGCAATTTCTAGTCTAGGAAAATAACAAATATTTAAGGGTCTTCTGTAACTCTCAGTGTGTTTCAGGCATTCGTAGCTAATCAAAGAGGTGTGAGCCCTGTGCAACCTGTAGAGGTGTGGGAACTTGTGAGCCCTGCTGGCTGGGTGGTTCTGTGAGTTACTGTGTTGACATGTGAATTAAACAAGTGCCTCTGTTTTTGCCTTTCCCCCAGGAATTTTATTGTTACTGGCTTACAGGATATTGATAAGTGTAGACAGCAACTTCATGATATCACTGTACCTTTAGAAGTGTTTGAGTAAGTATCATTCTTGATATTATCTCGGGTATAAATCTTGTGTAGTTGTGGTATTAATGACTACTTCCACCACTGACTGACATTTGAGTCCTTGCTGTGATTAGGCATAGCCAAGATGCTGGGGATTTGCCAGTGAAAAAAATGAACAAAAATACTTGCCCTCATGGAATTCACATTTTAATTGGATTAAAAAATTAAAAAGAAAATAATTTCCTCAATATTGTATTGTGGAAAAAAAGTTACATGTAAATAAAAGTTGATTAAATATATGAAAAACATCATAGGCTCTCAAAAGTCCTGCTTAGACTAAAGAACAACCACATAACTTCCATTTTCCTTAAGGGGTAAAAAGTGTTAGGTGGGCAATACTATTATTTAAAAAAATAATTACAACCAGAAACGACCTGAAGAGTAATCTGGTCAATCTGGTCTTGAGTGCTATAGGATTACAGGCGTGAGCCACCATGCCTCGCCCTTAATTTGTATTTTTAATCTGAAGTGATATGTATTTTTTTGCCTAAGTAAAACTGAATTGGATTTAGTTGGTGGTTGTTAAATGTTTTATAATGAATAATTCAGTTTAGTTGAACGATATGGATTTCCTCAGGGTACAGAAATAGGCAGGTGGCCTACTGTGGGTGAAAATTAGATATCGATCAAGACAGTTGCTTAATTAAATCATCAGGATAACAAAGATATGTTGGGAGAAAGTGTTAAATTTCAAGAAACATGTTTATACTTTTTAGAAATAATTGGACAGAATTTCTCTGTTGTATTTAAGTTACTTAGTGTATTTAATAAAATGGTATGTCAACCTCCCCCTCCTCATTTTTTTTTTTTAAAGCAACAGAACAATTTATAAAATAATCTTGGGGCAGCCCAGAGCGTGAACTCTAGTTGCCTGTAGCTCTACTCCCCCCACCCCCGGGGGGCTTCTCCACAGAGGCTCCTCCACAGGGCGGCTGGACCTGGAGTGGAGGCTGTCTTGGTGGGGCTGCCCTGCAGCACCCTGGCCTGAACCCCTGGACCGGGTTTAGTTTTCTCTTTTGTCAAGCACTACCTTACCTTGTAGGTTGTTGTAAGGATCAAAAAGGTAACAGCATGAAAGCATTTTGAAAAATACAAATGCTGAGAAGTGTAAAGTGGTATGGCTTGTGAAGGTTGCTTGAGTTTATAAAGGATCATTACTTAACTTCATGTTAGAAGTTATATGAGATCAAATTATCAGTACTTGTTTAAATGAGGGAATCTTAATTCCCTTGGTTCCTGGACTCAGTTTTGTCTAAACAGGGCCATGTGCAGTTGTCTATAGCTATTTTTTCTTTTTGAAGCCTCTTCCTAGAAGATGACTTTTTTTTTCTTTTGCATAGCTCTCAGAAAACTGTGAAAATAGGTATCACTTGTGAGAATACTAATTGAGATGTTTCATGTATCCAGATACATAGATCAAGGTCGAAACCCCCAGCTCTACACCAAAGAGTGCCTGGAGAGGGCCCTCGCTAAAAATGAGCAAGTTAAAGGCAAGATCGACACGATGAAGGTGAGACCTAGAGCAGAAATGGTGTCCAAATGGGTGCTGGAGAGGCCTGCTCAGCGAAACTCGCTGGAGACTTTGTCATTCTTTCCCGTGTTCTGCCATTCTTTGTGTTCTGTAGAACATCGGCTGTTTCGTAACATTGTCAGTTGAGATTGCTGGCTTGTGTAATAGGCAGTAAAGTGAGATATCACGGAGCTGTGTGCGGATAATCTTTTAAGAAAATCCAGGCTAATTCTTGCAACCAGTAATTGTCACTGGCTGATGGTGATTGTTCTCATTTTTAAGCCTTTGATACCTGAAGTTTGCACTTTGATTGCATGGGGCTTTCTGTTAGCTTCTGTGTTGAGTCCTTTTGTTGAGGCTTTCCCTACAATCATGGTTCTTTGATTTGCAGCATTCTTGAGTCTTGAGTTTCTTCTCTTTCTTTAGCTTCTGACCTGCAAACTTGGTTTTACCATATCCACTACCATGAAATTCTCCAGAGAACTCTCTGCATCTTGAACATGAAATATATGATTTTTTTTTCTTACTTAAATTCACTCAAATATGGTTCACCTAGGCATTTTGTTTCTTTATTTGGGTTTCAGTGGCCTCTTGTCTTCCTTGATGCTTGCAGCACGCGGCCCTGCCTGCCTCTCCTGCCCACTCGCACCCCTTGTCCCTTCCTCCTCCTGGCTGTCCTTGCTGGCCAGGTGTCCATTTCTGGAATATACCCAGTCCCTTTCCTTTGCATTCTTTCTCCTGCTGTCTCCTCTGCCTGGAACTCTTCCATGTTCTCGTTGCACAGCTGAGTGTATCCTCTGGTCTCAGCTGAGTTCACCTCCTTAGGCCTTTTCTACCAGCCTTTTCTAAAGTTTCTTTCCTTGAGAGCATGGGTCAGGATTCACCATTTCATTTCTTTTTCTCCATTCATTCTGTCCCCTCTGCCAGCTGCTTAAGTGCCAGCATTGCAGGGCACACGAGTGTTCTGTTCCCACTGATGCCTGGTGCCTGTCTGGTGCTGGACTGGCACAGTTGTGCTCAGGCGTGTCTGCTGTGTGCAGGTGGGCATGGTCGCAGAGTGGCCTCTTGGCACTCAGAGGGTGCTCTGGGCAAGGGGAAGAGCTCTGTCGGGAGACCTGCATGGTCACATGCTGGTCAGAGGGCCCCAGTGTTTCATCCAGGTGATCCTGTACTGGTGGTAAATAGCCCGACTTGGAAATGCGTTTTGTCATAGTTTATTTGTGTGGCACCCACAACTTCATCTCCCTTTTGTCAGTTTGCGACTCAGGAGTTGTCCAATCCAGCCTCACCTTCAGAACCTAATGGAGCTTTCTATCAATAGCAGGTTGTGAAGGTTTTGATCATTTTGTTCCTCTCGGCAAAGACAAGTGAGTGTTGCACTGTCCAGCAGACACAGCTCTGTCTGCACACAGCGTCTGGACCACGAGGGTGGTGGCTGCACTGCCAGCAGGCTGTGGTCAGGCTGGTGCCTTTGGGCAGTGCAGACTCGTCCTGGTGGTGGTGCCTCAGTGGCTGTGTGGTTTCTCTTCCATCTGCATCTGTCACCACTCCTCTCAGGTGTCGTGTCCTCTCATCTGAGGTCCGTGAAAGTCTCCAGTCAGTTCTCTGGCCTTCCTTTCTCAGTGGGGCATGTATTTAAACTTCCACAAGTTATATTTTAAATAGTTACTGTAGTGCTGGAGTGAACAGCCCCTTTGAAAATTTATTTTTAAATGATGTATGTTTTTATGTTTATGCCCATAGTGCTGCTCTTTAGTATAGCTTATAAGAGATGCTGGCAGATCTTTCATGCTTTTATGATCATGTTATGCTGTTGAGTAGGATCAGGAAGCTGCGGCATTTGGAATAGATAATATGTTCCCAGGTGTGTGGAAAGCTTTTCATTGAGCTGTTTGCACACAGTGAGTTTGATGTGGTTCGAGTTAATAATTGCTTAATTAAATATTATTTGAAGCTTCCTGTTACGTGTGCTGTCTGCAAAAATCATTTCCACCTGTGTGGCTGGCTTCCTCCAAGAGGTGCTCTTAATTTGAGCAAGAGGGAAAAGTGTTGCTTGAACATGTAGTCCTCTTTCAGGTAGTTGCAAGTGTAGCTTTAGCAGAATTGCCAATGCTTGTCCATGACTGGCCAGCCACGTGGTTGGTCAATGTGGGCAGCGCCTGGGGAAGGACACCTGGCTTTTGTTCCTAAGCAATTTGAGGGGTGCAGGGGGTGGTGTGTGGTCTTTCACTTGGATGATGGATTGCAAGCAAACAAAGATATTTGGTGTTATATCTTTTCCTTTGTAGAAATTTAAAAGCTTGTTGATTCAAGAACTTTCTAAAGTATTTCCGGAAGACATGGCTAAGTATCGAAGCATCCGGGGGGAGGACCACCCGCCCTCCTAACTGCTCATCCCTCTGTGACCATCCCGCCGAGTCCTCTGTGAGTCACCGTGACCCTGAGTGCCGACGCCGCCTTCCTGCTGACTCGGGACTGGGCCTGGACCCGTGCCCCAGCCCCTCTGTCCTGTCGCTTGCCCTGGGGATGGCAGGGCTGGAGAAGGAGCGGGAGCTGTGCCCCACCGACCGGCTGCGCGCCTGCCATTGTCCAGCCTTCAGACTGGTGACTCCGGACACTGGGACGATCCCTTCTGTTCTCTGGGCAGGCAGGGCAGGAAAACAGGCTTGGAAATAACTAAATTGATTGGCAAATTAAAAATTTAAAAAATTGTACCTAATATTTTTCTTTTGATGTACTCTTTGTGTTCCATTTTATTATTGTGAGAAAGCTATAAAAAATAGAAAAAATTAAAAAGAAAAGAAATTGGTTTAATGTGGGAAGTACTTAAGTTGGTTTTATATTGTACATTTTCAGATATAGTGTATAAAAGATATGTTAAATGTAACTGCTTTCATGGACATATGCGTGTATAATAAACTAAGTGTATGGCTTATTCATGTAATTATTTTTGTAACATTTTTACAATATAATATGGTATTTCTTGTAAGCAGTCAATTATTGCTTCCCCAAAGTCTTAATAATATTCGTAAGAAAATTTGCTCTCCAGGCTTCGAGGCAGGAAAAACTAAAGCAAAATGCAGAATTCTGGTTTTCTCCGCAGCCTCTTTTGTAGAGGCCACAAGAAGTACTAAAGAGCACAGATTTGCTGGTGCTGTTGCCAGCGCCCTGCACGGCCGTCTGTTTCAGCCTTCAGTGTGCTCACAGGTCACGTGGGGGCTCGTTAAACTGCGGGTTCTGATTCTGCAGGTCTGGGCAGGCACCGAGAGCCGCATTTCTCATAAACTCAGGATGCTAGCGTTCGGGTCGTGGTCCTAGTGCAGCCGGTGTCAGGTTGACTGCAGAGCCCCTGCGTCGGAGTGGCCGAGCTGGCTTGTGAGAAGGGTGGGGTCCCAGTTCAGGCCTGCTGGGCCACAGGCTCAGGATGGGGCCGGAGAACCTGCATTCATCTGCCGCCTCCAAGTGGTTCTGAGCTGGCCTTGATCAGAGCAAGGGTTGCTGTGACAAAGCATGAAAGGCTGGGTGGTTTAAACAAAAATTTATTTTCTCCCAGTTCTGGAGGCTTGAAATGCAAGATCACAGTGCTAGCAGAGTTGGCTCACAGATGGGCACCCACTAGGTGTGTCCTCACGTGGTGTTTCCTTCATGTGAACATCCCTGGTGATTCTTCAGTGTCTGAATAATACGAGGGTACCAGTTAGATTATATTAGGGCCCACCCTAAGAACCCCATCTTAACCACCTCTTTAAAGACCCCATCTCCAAATACAGTTGTGTTCTGAGGTCCTGGGGTTGGGGCTTCAACACAGGAGTTTGCGGGGGGATGCGATTCAAAACATCCCCCAAGAGGGTCTTAATTACTAAGAATCAGGGGTCAGGCCCCTTAGGAGGTTGGTGCCTCATTAGCAGTTCTGTTCTTTCCAGAACTACCAGAGAGGACGCCCACGCAGAGGCTCAGTTTCTGCAAGGCTGGAGGATGCCCCGTGTAGTCGGTTCTGGTGCAGCAGTCTCTGTTCCGAGCTGGGTTTCCTGCAGCAACATGCTGACTGTCCGCTGCCGCCCAGGGCCCCGGGGGCACAGGCTCGCTGAGCTCTTCCCACACTCTGGTCACGTGGACCCACTCAGCGGACCCTCCGCGGTCCTGTGAGCTGTAGGAACTGTTTACATCACAGATCTAGAAATGGGGCCACAGCAGTTAAGTGACTCACTCAAGTCGTACAGCTAATCTGTAGCAGAGCTAGAAGTTTTCATTCCCCCTGCATTGGTGCCTGGCAGGTCCACAATTGTCCATAATTCCCCTCTTCTGGGTTCTGAGACATTAACCACTTCGGAACGGCGCTCACCGGCCGCGAAACCTCACCCACAGCCGGCACTCACAGTCTGCACGACAGTCTGTGCTGTGCGTTGACGACGGATCCATTTTGCTCTTGTGTCATGAGGAAAACTTGAAAGCACTGAAAGCTTGTTTTACTTTACAGGCAGCTTTACTTGTCATGTAAATCAGAATAGATAACATAGACATACATGTTTTCATTACGTTTTTTTAAATGTTCACAATTTTATTCTGATCAATGAAAATTAGAAAAGTCTTATCACGGCTGTCGGCTAAATCGACGCTCGGCTGTGCGCCTTCATATCATGGCTGTCGGCTGAAGTCGCTGTGCGCGTCCATCTGTGGCTGTCGGCTGTAGTCGACGCTGGTACTGAAGTGGTTAAGGGTGTGTGACTGGGCAGCTGTTCTGTGTCCTGGGACTGGGGGTCGTCCAGGTGGCCTCGAGAAGAGGGGGTGGCCGTCAGTTAGTGGAGGCGCTTGTCTGTTAGCCAGCGAAAACAGCCCTGCCGCAGAGGGGTCAGCTGACCCACAGTCAGCAGGGCAGGTGCAGCTGTAAGGTCATTCTGGAATATTCACCAGTCTCCTTGTGAGTAAAAATTCGGGTCTACGGATGCATCGTCTCAGACCTCTTAGCTTTCCTAAGCTATCTGGTGGCCCCACCACAGCGGGTCAGCCCCGAGCAATGAATGGGCGTTGACGCTCACGCGCGGTGACAGATCTTATTCTCCGTAAGTTCACCGGTTGGTCTCCATCTTACGCCCCACCTGGCATTACTATTTTTTGTGAGTACCAATCACTTCCAAGTCCTGTGAGTTACTGAGGAATCTGCTCAGCTCAGAACTGATGTCGTGTCACTTCTGTGGGAGCGTTACAGGTCCCCAGGCCGCCCCTGGCACATTCCCGCTGAGCCCGCACGACGTGGATCCTAACTGCCCACTGCCCCTTAGACCTCTCCACCGAAGGCCCCAAGGCGCAGCCCAGAGTCAGGTGCACACACCTGGCCTCGTTCTCCCTTCCCTTGGCCCTATGTCCCCTCTCCTCTCAAAGCCCTCATTTTGGCTAAAAGAATAATTATTGGAGTCATACAGGTGCAGTCGCAACCATGCGATTATCACTCATGTCCCTGAATAGTTTGTGGATTTTCTATGTTCTTTTTTTCCATTTTGAATCCTGTCAAATGATACAGGTGAATGCCGAGTTGAAGTATTACTACAGTCCATGATAATGCAGGTGCCGGCTCCTAACGAGGTCACTTGCTCCCTGTGCAGCCAGGTGAGCTGCTCTTTCCTGCCGCTCACCTGCATGGACGCGACCCACCTGTTCACATGACAGAGGTGCCATTGCTCTGTTTGTATGCCGTGTAGAATGTACAGCCCAGGGTTCTGTAAAGACTCAGGTGGTGTTAGGTGGCAGATGTGCTACTTTTTAAACTCTTTAAATGCACCACAAACCTAAGAAGTTACAAAGGAAGTGATTGATACATTTGACTACATATATGTTTAAAGAAAAACCCCAAAACACAGCTAGTGTAAGAAAAAACACCATAAACTCAAAAGACAAAAAAAACCCCAAAAAACCTAGGAGAAATACTTGTCACAAGGGGATTAGTATCCGCTGTGCAGAGAGGTCTATCACAAATAAGAAAAGTCAGACAACTGAGCAGAACAGGCAGATGTTCTTTGTTACGTTGTTTACAAAGGAAAAGAAAAAGGCCATCGCTCGAATGTCCTTTAACAATGGCTTAAATTGATGGGTTAACTATGCAGTCGCTAAAGAGAATGGATGAGGGAGGCTCTGTGTGCATTGGCACAGAAAGGTTGCCAGGATATATTACATAATCACAAAGCACCTTTGTCGAATGAACATCAATTAAGGGTCGCTGTGACCCAGGCTCTATCTGAACGAGGGTTTCTCCAGGACAATCTTCTGTCCCCTGTAGCAGAACCACCAGGAAGCTTATTAAATGCCGACTCTAGGCCCCATCCCGGCCAGTGCAGCTGCGGGAGTCTTCGCTTCCCGTGGCTGCTAATCAACGCGCTCCACTGGAACATTGGGTGCAGGGCTCCGTGGGGCATTTCCTTTTTATCTTTCATCATCCTGCCTCTCCCTGGACAAGGTCGTCAGTCCCCTGGCTCCTGCTACAGTCTGGAGCCAAGACTCCAGGTTCATACCCGGCCTTACACTCTCCCAGTGAGTCCTACACGTCTGCACCCAACTTCCCATTTTTCTCCACTTGGCCATTCCCCAGGCGCTTCAAATTCAGTGTCCTTAAAGCTGGGCTGACATCTTTCCCACCCGTCTCCCCCGTGTCTCCCCTAGAAAGTGGCGTCACCTTCTATCTGGTGGCATGATCCTTGTTCCCTTTCTGTCCCTCTCTCTTCTACCGCCTGGTATCAAAGTCATCACTACCTCTCCTAAATATCCCGTTTCCTTGCTTTTATTTTCCACTCCAGCCATGCTAGTCTCGCATACTCCAATGCTCACAAATGCCACCACACACACCTGCGCTCGTGCCTCCCTCCTCACCTGGCGCCCCTGTGCTGCCTTCCAGGCTGCATGATAACAGGCTTGCGCCAGCTGACCTGCTCCGAGACCCCGGAGCAGTGCCGGTCTGTGTGTCAAACTGTCCTTCGACATTCAGTAAGTACCCGAGGTGCTGAGAGTGGCAGAGGAAACGCCTCGCTTTCAAGATTGTTCTTTCCATGAGAGCCTGGGCTGCAGCCCTGCTTCCCCACCCTGGACTTCCCCACCCTGGACTTCCCCACCCTGGACTTCCACACCCTGGACTTCCACACCCTGGACTTCCACACCCTGGACTTACCGCCTCGCCTGAGACACACGAGTGTACGTCTGGCCTCGACATGAGCAAGTCCGGGTGTCTGAAGAATCTTGCATAGATCCAGCAGTGTGACTTTGTGACCATGCAGGAATTAAATGTCGTGATTGCACTGGGTCCTGGAGAGGACAGCTTTCCCTCCCAGAGTGTCCCTGAGAAAGTTCTTGAGCCTACATCCACACTTCCTAACATCACTCTGGCCACCTGGCTGGGAGCTCAGGAGCTGGAACATGAAACGGGCATGAAACGATCCTCCTGGACCACCCCACGTGTTTCAGCTCCAAAAAATGCCTGAGTTCGAGATGGCTTTAGCACCCTCACTCCCTCCCTCTGGCCCCGGCCTGTTTGCAGCCTGCTGAGGGCAGGCTGTTTGCAGAGACTTTTGGCCCCACTAACTGTGCTTTTGCCGGGGTCCTGGTGATATATCTGGATCAGCAGTGTGAGCTTTTCTCATTCTTGTGTTCGCGTCTTTACTTGCTGGGGCCTCAGCACAGCCTGCGGCCAAGTTTCAGTTGTTTCCAGAAAGATCGAGATACATGTCAACTAT